GGGACCCATCGGGTTGGCAAAAGCTTAGAGACACATCCCAATCCATTTGGGACTGGCTAGGAAAGAGAAAGTAAGGAGCATGGAACCCACCGGATCGGCAAAGGGGCAGAAATCCAAAATAAAAAAAAAGGGTCCACTTACGCATGGGATTGGCTGTCCGCATTCGAATACTCCACATGGGGATAATAGTCCACAGTTGAAACCTGAGAAGTTGGCAACATGCATGAAAATTCACATTTGGATATTTCACATGCAAGGTGTGAAAGCAACATCCATGGGTTGGCAATAGGCCAATGGGGATCATATTTTTTGGCTTGACCAGCAAGGCCAAGAAAGAAAACGTATGGCTTATTTTTGGGCTCAACCATGAGCCCATCACGGTGACATAAGCTCAGTCTGAAGAAATCATATTCCAAAGTCCCAATTAGGTTGTTTTTCCCTCTCCACCCTCGAAGCGTGTAGAGAGGAAAAAAGGAGGGCACTGTGGGGACCAAATCTAACTTATCATGGCCTAGCCCATATGCCACGACTAAAAGACGTGGGATGATCGAACTTGCCTCCCACTAGAGGAGTGCGGAACAAGGGAGACACAAACCACTCATATGATCCCATTACCATGAAGTGTAGGATGGGATGCGCAGAGCTAGGGAAGTGGGGCTAGACCCAAGATCTCATAACGCTATAAAAACCCAGCTAGACCTCCAACAAAGGTACGTAAAATTCAAATGACCACTACGAGTACGCTGCACGAACACTGACTTGAGCGTCGGAGTGACTTTTGCAGGTATTCACCCCATTTCCATCTTTCGACCTCGGGAACGTAGTCCGGAGTTCTCTTCTAACTAAGGAAACGTGCAGACTTTAGTCAAGAACCTGTGGAGGTATTTCTTCTTGAAAGAAATCCTGCTCCAACACACACCTTGCACATAATCAGTAATCTATTTCTACCACATTTACTAACGATAATGTTCATCATGTCTTTTATATTGGCAGTAAAATTAGTAGAGGGATGGGCACCTGATGTAAACTGAGCAGCATATCATATTGTTTACCCCTGTAAGTAGAAGTTGGTAGCTTGAGGCCAAGGGGTATAACAGAGCTAACTTGCAAAAATCCTGGACATAGAATATTGAAACAACCAGCCTTTTGGTAACCATCTGCCTGCAATATACATGGTTTTCCAAAACTTATAAATAAATGAAAAGAAAATGCAAAGTTGAGACTTGAAATTAATGACTTACAGTCCAGAAAGTATAAAGTCAGCTGCCATAGGGATATAGATTTAGATTAACCTGAAAGGTTAAAAATAATTAATTTTATTTAATTGTAATTAATTTGCAATTTTATCATAAAGAGGTGTTTACAGCAGATGCTTACTATCCAACCAGCTTGTATAGTGTTATTCTGCTCCCTAGACCAATTTGCAAGAGCCATACTTGAAAGGCTAAATTGAGTTTGTGGAACACTGGGGTTCCAAATATTAATGCCTCCTCTGCCTCCATAAATTGAGTTTCTATACTCTAGCATTGCAGCCTGATGATTTGAGGAAATAAGTAAAAAAAAAAAAAACCAAACCAATTATTTTATGAATCAATCAATTCAATTGTAAAAAGAAAGACTAATTCATTCCAAATACAATATCAACTAGCTATTGCTTTAATCGGGATGCTTTTTCTTTTTTTTCTTTTGATACAAGCGATATTAAGGAAAGGGGGAACCGAACCCAAGACCTATGCATGGTAAATGCTTTTAACCACTTGAGCTACATGGCGCCCCTTGCTAATTGTTATGCTAATTAAGATGATGGTCTTCTTATTTATGAGAAAGTTGTACTTACATGATGGCCCTTTATGTCAATCTTATTGGAGCTGCGCCTGTGAGTTTTTGTAATTGGGTAGTTTAGTCCCCAAGACTTCATATTTTTTGCCATTATTAGATCCTCCTTTGTTGCCCTTCTCATGGGCACTGATCCTTGTTGGCAATGTAGGTTCCTAGGCACATATTGTGAATATTTAAACGTTTTCAATTCTTCGTTTCCATTCCCTCTTGGCACCTTCGTAGGTTTTATCTGCATTGAACAATTTGAACCCAGATATATATATATATATATATGTATATGAATATACATTACTAAACTGTATTGTATGAAGAGCTTTGATAGCGTCAGTCGCCCACAAACATGTGAGTGATTTTAACTATTAATTGGTCTGAAGTACACACCAATCAACAATTATCAATCACTCACGAGCGTGATATTGAAGCAAACACGTAACCTGGATTGTATGATTCTTGTGCAGAGGATGATCGAAAGCAAGTTGTTTGTAGATACCAATGCAATCTACAATATCACCATATCCAATCTGTTGGTGGCAAAAGTGAAAAAAGCCAAAGATGGGTTCAACAAACTAAAACTGTCTCAACTAGTACTATTTTGAGCATTTAAAAGAGAGTTTAATTGCCCTGAAACTCTTGATTGGAAGTTTATTGATAAGGTTAAGCCGTGTATCCAGCTCCAAGTCTTCATCTTTTGATAACCTTCCCCATCCTTGAACTGCAATATCTCCATAAAAAAGTAGAGCAAATGTTGCCAGGAACATAATTGTCACTCTGTTGGAGTTTCTAGCAGCCATTCTCATAGAACCAGCTACCTATGTACTTTGAAATTCTGTTGCATGATATGACGGTTACTAAGCTCTACCAACCTTAAAGTAAAATAAAAGAAACTATCGTTGACATTGGCTTGGATTAATTAATGGAAAATCTTAAGGATAGTTGACTATGAAGGAAGTTGAGGTTCCACCCCAAAACCAATTGGCAATGAGGGGAGTAGCCCAACTCCTTATAAACCCAGGCTAGGTCCCTTAACATTTCAATGTGGGACAAACACTCTCAACACGCCCCCGCACGTGTGGCGAACTTTCAAGCCTAACACGTGGACAACACATATTGGGTGACGTGGGAGTACGTGTGGCCGTTGGGCCCAACACGTGAAGCCTTGCTCTGATACCATGAAGGAAGTTGAGGTTCCACCCCAAAACCAATTGGCAATGAGAGGAGTAGCCCAACTCCTTATAAACACAGGCTAGGTCCCTTAACATTTCAATGTGGGACAAACACTCATTGGACCAATAACTAGCAAAGATAAAAGTTGAGATTTTTTGTAGAAATACTGAACAATATAAAGAAGACAGTTGAAATTGACTTGCTTTAATTAAAGAAAATACTATCGATATATGGTTCGCAATAACAAGCAAACACAGGATCTCGAATGCACGGATAACTGCTCTTCACCACTACAGCTACAAGCCCCTTTGCAATTAAGGAGCATCTTAAAGGCTGAATCTTTGAGTTAAGAAGAACATTTGTCCACACTAGAAAATTTGAATGAAAAATGAAAGGAACTAGTTGAAATTGACCTGCATTAATTAAGGAAAATCCAAGAGATTCATAATAACTAGCAAATCCAGCAGCACTTGAGATTTTATGAGTTATAAAGAACCAAATCTGATGCAATGGTTAGCCAGTGTGGCCTACAAAAGGTATTCTTGGATCATCAGATTGGCCAAGGTGTATTTCAGAAGTGGAGAGTTCCTTGGATACCAAGTAAAACTTTGATGATGGAGTTGAAGGGTGCCTCAGTGGTGGAGATGGTGGTCATTCTATTAATCACTGGAAATGCAATTGCAGATGAACCCTGTTTCCAGCAGTGCCTCAACAATTGTGATCAGTTACCATTTTTATGTGTCAGACTATGTCTGGGGAAGTGTCCTCTTGATCCTAATCTACCTCAAAACCCTGTGGATCTCTCCCATTACTACTGCAAAATTGGTTGCTCACTTCACCAGTGTCACAAATTTAGCCATGGTAACCTCTGCCTCTTTATCTATATGGTTCTTAATTTAACTCTCTCTCTCTCTCACACACATAAAAATGATTCTGTTTTTTCTTGACAGATAAAGAGAAAATGGGAAGTTGCATGCAAGACTGTTCCAACACAAACTGCAACATCCAAGCTCCTAGTCCTCTGTAATTGTATATATATATATATATATATATATATATATGATATTATATATACACATATGTATCAGTGTATATTTGATAAATGAATAAAGAAAGGGTTGATTATAAATTTCCCTGGCTTTGCGTTCCTTCCTCACCTCTCTCTCCCCCTCTTTCTTTTATTAACAGAATTCTTCCACGCCCACGGCCCAACACTTCTGCTTGCTGTTTTTATTTATCTCCTAAATTGACATAATGCCCTCAATAATATAAACGTAGTGTTTATTGCATCCATGTACAACATACATATAATAAGAAAATATACATAAAAATACTATGTGTCAAATCCGTTTTCCAGAGCAGAACAAAAGTCTTGATGAAGAACGACTACACTTGTAAGCTATCGCTTGTAAAATATTTATCACACTATGTTACATTGAAAAATTACAGAACATGTTCTACAAAAAAAAAAATATTCGGGTGCAAAAGAATAATGATGCAGTAATGTTTGCAAAATGCTGGTATGAAATTACAAGATGGACTTGAAGATATTAGGATTCGGGTGTCGGGTGTGAGGTTGATGAGTTTATTTATTTATTTATTTTCCTGCTAGGTGTGTATTTAGGGGTAGTTTGGGAAGATAGTGGGGTTTTCTTATAAATTGTGAAATTGTGAAATTCCCTTAGCCTATCCAGAATTACTCCCAAACAAGGCCTTAGAATATGGGGTGAACAAAGAAAAGTGCGGGGTTAAATACAAAAACTCGAAATAAATGCATCAACAACTCAACCTTTCATAGTATTTGTTTTTTTCCTCTTTTTTTTTTTCTAAGCTAGCTTGAAATACATTGTTGGCACATTTCGTAGACACTATACCCTAGACACATCACAAGGCTTATAATCTAGCTTGATAAAACATTGAGCTCCTCAATTTAACAGGAAAAAGATGGAGAGAGTCAAAAGATCCGGGGTGGGGGGGAAGGCTGTGCACTTAGTATAGGATCATGAGCCAATAATTAGTAGCTATCAGAAGTTTAATATAAACTGTACAGAGTATACGCAAAATTTGAGCCTTACAATTGATCCAAGGGTACCCCATGACGATCTTATGCACATCTGCAAGAAGCTTCCTGATACCAGCTCCCCATGTAGTAACCTTGTGTTTGCATGATTTGTTCAAATTGTCCAAATACATTTCTTAAGTGACTTAAAACCAGTTGGTCTAACCTACCCAAGCTTGCCCTGATTTCCTTGGTCCAATGCAGACCAAAGCACAGCTATATAGCAATATACAAATTTTCAGAAGAGCCGCTAAAATGTGGTTTCCATGATCAGCCCTTCTAAAACATCTTCTACTATCTCAAAAACAGTCTCCTCAACATCATTTCGGATATCCAGCCACATTCCAGACTGTGCTATGTCCTTTTCAACAATTTGCTGCGTTGTATGTGGTGATGGATGCACAGACTTCATCACTTCATGAATCACAGTTTTCTCAATGCAAAGTTTTCTTCTGGCATTTGGCTTGATAAATGACACCCAAGGGGAGCATGGAAGATGAGTCTGATATACCTCGACAAGGACTTCATTTATACAGTCAAAGAGGAGCATACAATCACCATGGAATTGGTTAGGCTGCAACTTTACTGCATCAAACAAGAATGGATCAAGCAGTCGATCGGCTGATTGACACATCATCGAGAGCTCATCCCAATTCAAGCCAGAAGCTTGCAGCACGGCCATCACGTACTCAGAGATATATTCATGTTCATTCAAAGAAGAGGTTTCGGGTTCCAAAGGGGACTTCACAAGAAGAGCAGAATGGTGCTCTTCAGCTGCATGGCATGGTTGAACTCAGTTACATGAAGTGAATTGGGAAGAAGAAGAAGAAAAAAGGAAAAATTGGTAGATCCTGATGAAGGTGTACCAGGTTCAGATATGGTGCTTGCAGAACTGGTGGCATCTACAAAAAACTGCTCAAGTACAGAAACTGGACTTGGCTGTTCTCCTTTATCTTTGATGCAATCAGAATCTTCCACTCTCTGAATACTTGAAGGGCTTGATTGAAAAACATCCGGTGAAGATGTTAATGGCTGATCCTCAAAAGGTGAATCCAGAAAAATCTAAAGATCAGTAACAAGACAACGGTAATAAAGCACATAAATTGGCAGCATAAAGTGGACAAAGAAAAGAACAGGTGGTAGAGAGAATAATTCCAAAATAATTTGAGAGAAAATCAATTCGGGCACTATACCTGTCTGGATCTCTTAAAATACTCCTCTTCATCGTACATGTTGGTTGTTTCTGAGCTCTGATCAAGAGCCTTGTCTGTGCTGTCTAGTTCAGTCAGTATTTCGGAATGCTGAGTTTCTCCTTGGTATGAAGTATCACTAGTCTCTGTGGTATTGGTCTTCTCCGTGCAATCTGGTTTGGATAGAACTTCCAAATAATTAGTTTCTCCTGGGCGGATAGTATTGTTAGCTTTTATGGTATCAAATTTGTCTGCGCTTTCAGATTCGGAAGGCACTTCTAAAGAACTAGTTTCTCTTTGGTGCAAGGTGTTATCATTCTCTACAATTTGAACACAGCCTGCAGGAGATGGATTATTAGCTAAACAGAAGAGAACCTTAGAGATCAATGAAAAATCTGTAATTAGTAACTCCAAACCTTTAGGGCTTGAAATAGCTCCCAGCACAGTGATGTCAGTAAAAGGATAATCTGAGTTATTTTGCCGTGTATCAAAAACTTGCAATTGATCATCAAGTTTCTTATTGTCAGGCAGGACCTCTACGTCCTGACTCAATGGACTTGAGTAGCTGGCTTTCTTTTCTTTATGAAGCCTCCACTTGTTCTCATATACCATTTGGCAATTGCCGTAGGGTGAAAATGTCATGTGCTCATTAAGAAACCTATTTTCCCAGTCCCTTACCAGATTACATGTAGGCAAGAAGTCATACTCAGGAAATGACATCACACTTCCCCATGTTTTTTGTGCCTGCCTTTCAAAGTAGCTCTTCTCCTTGTTCCCATTGTTTAACAATTCTAAGAGATGTTTCCCAGCCTCCACAGAAGTTTCAGATTCCTCTCGCTTGGGTTGGCTAACAAGCGAAATGTTTGAGTTTCCAAGACCACTTCCACTGGTTGATGCAGCTTCGCGTCCAATACTTGATTCACATTGTTTCACCTTGCCTATGTTTTCTTTTTTCTTGATATCAAGAGAAGACTTGGTCACTCCTCCACCATCAACACTAGGTGAATTGCTTCTAATGATCTTCGTACCCTTTCCTTTACAATCATCTCCTGTGCTTTGGCAGGGAGATGTATTTAATGTACCATCGATTGACTTGGAGTGCTGCTCTTTTCTGCTCTCCGATATAGCATGTCTCAGTTTCCTCTTTATACGGCTAAAGGAAGAATTTGCAGGCCTGTCACTCTGCCCATTATTTCTCAAGCTTTGCATAGAGGTATTGATACTCTCTGAAGAAATTTCCAAGCTTGGTGGGCCAGGTTTTAAAACTATTATTCTCTCTGGAAACTCGGACTCACCATTTTCCTGAGACGGGTAGATATCACAGGATTTCAACGTGTGAATACTGGAAGGACCTTCAGATTGCCTTGCTTTGCTTGTCCGATATTCTGAGACGTTGGCTTCACAGGGAGATTTACTCTGATGTGTTCTTGACTGAGAGTCTCGGAGGTCTTCGATGTGTTTGACTAGCAGAGAATTTGGGTCTTGTAGGAGTTTTCGAAATAACTCTTTATTCGAATTCAAAATTTCCAATGCATCTAATAATTGTTTAGACTGGTGGTTCACCCCATCAACGAATTTCTGATTTATGATGGCCTCAGCTGCATTCAGCTGTACTGGCACAAGATTAATCTCATTAAGCTGGTCATGCTTCACGGTATCAATACTTTTACAACCGCATCCTCGTCGGTTTTTGCTATGTACCTCTTTGCTAGATACTTCTGGCAGTGCTGCAGAGTTGAGCTTATTCAAAGGTTCTTCCACCAAAACTGAATTAGAATGTTTTTGATGCTTAGCTTCATGGGATCTCTGACGAGTTTTGGTAGTCTTTCCATTGTTTTTTGGTAAATGACCAACAAATTTGGAATTAGATGGTATATCTTCCCCTTCATCACTAGCAAACTTCTTGTTCATCTGCGGCTCAGTGGACAAGTCTTCTCCCTTAAGCTTTCTTTTACTTGCCACATCAGAATCAACTGTCTGAGTTTTGTTCTTCATTCTATCCTGGAACAATTAAAGTTGCTAATCAGTTAATTCTTCTAATGCTTTAATTGATCAAGTAACCAGCCAGGGGTCAATACTGTGAGAGAATATTAAATAAAAAAGAGACCAAAATGAAGAAAAAGTATAGAAGAAACGAGCCTAATGGAACTTACATCCATGCTTTGGCCCTTCTCGTCCATTTTGTTAAGCAAATCAAGCTTGGTCTTAAAATTTCCATCATCTACATACAAAGAAAAATAAATAGATAAACTTTTCAATCTTATTGAATATAATAATTATAAGAATATAAAACAAATGCATAAATATAATAGAAAATCATAACAAAGTACAATGATATTTTCAATACTGCAAAAGAATTTCAAGGTATATCTTATTCAGTACTTTTAATTACTCTTTGATAAGTCTATCAGCACTTCGTGAAACGACAAAAACAAGCACTATCATCTTGCTTCAGCATTGTTTAGTTCACAATTATGCATGTAATAGTTTATCGAATACAGCAGCTGGGAGAGTACAAGCAGTTCATAAAGACTTGCATCTGTCTTGCATTTGTCATTGTACAGCATAACGAAAAATTCTTACCCAGTCTGTTTGTATGCCTCTTATGTGAAAGCCGCTTCTTATTAGAATGACCTTGACGGAAGTTGAAGAGGCCATATAAATGCCACATACAGCCTGTCTCGTACTTCTCACATACCATAGGGCTTTTTGGCATAGGACTTTTCGGCATAGGACTTTTCGGCATAGGGCTTTTTGCTGGTGTCATCTTTGCCATGATGAGTGAACTGGGAGAGCTTGGCTATAGCATATAACACCAGATTAACATCAAACTAGAGAATAAATAAAAAGAAGAAGAAACTGTGGGGATGAACAGCTTAGTACACAGCATACAATATAATATTGTGTTAGTTTCAAACCTGATGACCTCAATAATAATGCAATTATTTGTCTCTCGGATAGCATAATATTGGTACTTTGAAATAATTTCGCACAAAATAAATAAATAAAAGACATGAATACATTAAAAGATGACTTGTAATGTAAGAATAGAAAAACAATTTTTTCGAATAAGTTTCACCCTGTGAAGGACAGTTTTCTATAATCCAAACACATATACAATGTCATGCACCTAACCAAGAAGAAACAACATATAAGCATAAAAAAGTTTATATCCAAGTGCACACTCAAGTCAGGAGAAACACCAGTTGAATATATAATCTTCTGTACTACAGATGATTGTATTAGATGCAATCTGCAATATTGTCTTTGGTTTGTGTCCTTGTTTTATGTGTGTTTTGTACTTAGGTTTTTGTAGTGTGCAAATTATTTTAAACGTGTTGTCCCACCATGTGTTTTCTTCAACAATCACACCTAATATGATTTGTTTATTTGGAGGAAAAATCGTAGTTTCCTTCTGAAGATGGAACTTTAGCCACAAGTATTGCTAGTCATGGCATGAGTGACAGACAGGCCATGGCCATCAATTCATTTCCCAATAAATCTTTTACCTTCAAAGTTGAAACACCTAACTAACTTGTCAGCAATTCATTAAAAATTATAGAACAAGAAAAAGAAAAAAGGAGGAAATTCAAGCCAAAGTATCTTCTACTCTGTGCTACCTCAATTTTAGCAGCTCTGTGGCTGCCTCTGTAAGTGTCATTAGCTCCTAATTTGCTAAAACACTAATCAAATAAAGAGACATTTTCTGTTTGTTTCCATGGAAAGTGTTTCCAATGAAAATTCTTGTCTAACAACCAAACCAAAAACATAACTGTATAAACTTGCAAGCCCAAGATTTTAAATGTTACAAACATCAACTGAGATGAAGAAATTTCTACAAGGAAATAAGAAACAGAGAGATAGAGAGATAGAGAGAGAGGTACCTGAAAAAGCTTTTAGTCCTATGCAGTGCTTGAGAAAGAAAAAGGGAAGCTTTTTGCTTTTTGACTGAAAAGAGAGTAACTTGTGCAGAGGAGGCTATGGACTTCTTGCTTTAAATATAGCAAGTTCCAATCTTTAACATCAAACTAAATTTATACCCAGAAACCCAGAAAAATGGGAGCTGAAGAGCCATGAACAAGGAGAAGAATAATGGAAAATCACTATGAAAAAATAAATAATAAAAAAGTGAAAGAAAGAGATATCAATGGGAGCGAGATTTATGGCGACAGCGACTGGTAAATTGCAATTTGCAGAGACACCAAGGATGGGGATTGAGGAAGAAAGCTTTCAACTGAAGGAAAAATTAAGTTTAGTAGCTTTCCCACTTCCCTCCCTCTCTCTCTCTCTCTCTCTCTCTCTCTCTCT